CCTGCCTCTCATCTAGTCACGCTTGTCAACTTCTCAGTGGATCGCTCAGGTTCCGCACCCACCACCAGCATCCAACGGAATCTGCCGGGTCGACGGCAGAGGCTCAACTCCATTCCTGGTCGGCTCGAAAGTCAACTTTATCCCAGGTCACCACCGTCCATCGACTAGGGGCACTTTACCATCTACCGTCGGAAGGATTTTCGACCCTGACAGGTCTCGATCCCGGGATCTCCCGGGGGCAATGGTCCGTGCCTTACCAGTAGTGCCTAACCTGAGCATGTATGTGACTGTATGTATGCGCGTCACAGTGGGTTGGTCTCTTAACACTGCACGTCGAGGTGGAGCGGCGGGTTTTAGCTTCCTCGAGTTGATCACTTGGTTCGGCCTGTTGCCTCCGCCTCGCCCCATACACCCCTTCCGATCTCCACCCTTACACCTTCGCATTCCCCCTCTCACTACACAAACCCCATTCCCCCGCCCCCTCCCAATCCCAACCCTGGTCCCCCCCCATCCCCCTGCACCTTCCCAACCCCAACCCGCAATTCATGTATTGAACCGGGGCTTGATGTGCGGCGCTGTACGACAGTACGACGTACGGCATACCTTTTCTACGGCTCCAGCTCGCGTGGCCAGACACGCCAAGGAGGAGAGCAGCCAGCAGTCGCCCAGGGCGCCCTGGTTGATGTCGGTGGATCGAACACCGTCTGAAAGTAGTGAAGGGGAAAGAAAGGTGAACGGTATTGGGGAGGGGGGTTGTACATTTCGGAGGATATCGGAGCATACACGATTCATTTGGTGTTAAAAGATCATTTACAGGGTGATGAGAATGAGATAGTGTCGTGTTAGGTGGTCCCAGGCGAGGTGAGGATGATTGCCAAGTCATGGGGATAGGATGTGCGGGGATGCACCATCGGAATCTCAGCGCTTTGGGTGCGTTGCGTTGAGTTGCGTTTCGTTGGAAAATGGAGGACTTGCCTTCAAAGAGGCGAATGCTTGGTCGCCCATCGGTAGCTTTTTGGAAGGCCGGCAGATCCTTTAGACGGCGCCTGGGGGAGAAGTACCGCGTCAGCAGCATAACAAGGGAGGGGGAAAGGGGAGAAAGGGGAGGAAGAGGTGTCAGGTTGTAGGGCAAGCGCGGGGCAGGGGCGCTCGCGGGGAAAGGCTCGCGGTTAGTCAACGCGCAAAAAAATCTGCAAAGGGCCGGAAGGGCCTGGTTACTGCAACAGTGATTGTCCTTAAAGCGGGAGTAGGAGTTCCCTCGTGTCCTGGGACTCCTGGAGGGAACGAGGTCATGGCATGTACGAAAGGAGCGAAGAGGTTGTCTCACCAGTCTACAACGCGCTGAATATCACGCCCACGGTATATATTCCCATTATATTTTATCTCCTGGATGGCATCCTCGCTTGGTCGAAAGTCTGGGTCCTAGCGTTGGGGAACGGAATGCCTTGAGTCAAGCAGAAATCAAGGGTGCTAATTACTTGTGAAAAGCCTGATGCGATGGGTGATAGGGTCGGCTTGCTTTCAGGAAATGCCCGCCTTCTATCTCCATCGTTGACCATCACCTGAAAAATGGGCGTCTTCCCCATAATTCTTACTTCCGACTTAGTAATTAAAGTACGTGATACACAGTTGCTAGGCCTGGATAAACTACTGCGACGGTCCTTTTATTTTAATGAATCAGGTGACATAGTGAAATGGAACCACCGACTTTTAGACAACCATTTTAACGCGTCGGTTTCTACTATTCTTCCTCCAATCTCTATACGGTAGAGTTACATGTGTTGTACGTTAATGTTAGTTGTCACCGTTGCAATTGTGTAGCTAGTACACGTGCACGACCTTTGAGGAACGACCCAGCCGCTAGGCGTTGGCAGCATAACCCGCGATGAGCAATATAACCATTGACACTTCCTTTAACCTGCATTGATTCTTCAGGCGCCGCATCCGCCTGTGACGGTGAAGCGCCCGTCGACGAATACTTCTCCAGCAGCTTCTGAAACACACCTGGAATAACACAATCTATCACAACAGCAAAATTGGTACATGGTCCTAGGGATGCGTCAACACCCTGCGCCGAGCCTAACTCCTGTTGCAGTGCAAGGGAGCAAATGGTAAGACAGCAGTGCAAAAGCTGCTTCTTCCCTGCACAACAGTGATCCGGATGGGTCGGGGGGATGGGGGGATTAGCCGTCTCGGGAGGTGAAAGGGGATGGGCCGTGGGGTCTGTGGAGAGCCGTGGAGAGGTATGATGGCGGTTTTCCATGTGATGAGATGCGGCGCGAGGGGAAATTGATCTACGCATGGGGACGCGCAGACAGATAATCGCTAATCAGTATCAGCTGTCAGGTACTAGGATAACCCGAGACATATGCATTACAGGGTTTTATGCAATAGCAAGCACACCGCAGCACAGATACGCAAAGTGCACCACAGACCCGTGGGTCGTTGCACCACAGATCGTTTCACAAGCTTGCTCGCAAGGCTAGGTCCGGCACGGCACGGCACCCCTGCAAATAGTGCCGGGCATCCAGAAACGAGCAGAACGATGGTGGAGAGGGTGCGGAGGGTTTCAATTTTAAGGTGATAAGTTGCGATTGCTTCCCTTTCCCTTCAACGGCATGTTAGCGCGTTTCAGACGACGTCTTCAGCTGCCCGGCAGCTGTGCGGATCTCCTTGCACGTTGCGCCAGTTTTTATATCTTCTCATCAAAAGTCTCAGCCTGCCGTGCCTAAATTTTGTATTGTGTCCGTAGCCCCAACACTTAGATTATCCACTTGGTTTCCGTAAAGAGTGCAAACAGGTTGACAGTTCGGTGATTTGTATGGGGAAAGCTGCACTTTAGGAGGGTAGGATCCAGGAACTCCATCAGGCTCCTTGTGGTTTTGCGTAGAAGAGAGGTCGCTGCAATAATGTAGCGGCCTGATACATAGTGAATCTCGCTATGTAAAGGAGTAGTAGGCAGTCGGCAAGCTAACACTGCGAGCCAACTCGACACGCGGCTTCCACCCCCATGGCTTAATAAACAAATTTTAAGTAAAAAATATCCCATCAAGTCAGGATAACAGGCTGAGATTCTTTGCTCTCCCTCTCAAGCCTGGCTCTCCTTACATACAGAATCCTAACACCCTAGTGCGTCTGATCGCGGCTGAAGCTTAGCTTGGTTCTGTGATGCGTAACAAAAGAGAAAGCATACAGATATGCCGCATCGATAGAAAGAGTGGCAATGTGAGCGAACTCGTACGCATCGGCCCAACCGACTCTGAAATCAAGGACGTGCGAACACCTCGAAAGTAAATTGCTTCTTACCTGCCCCATTAGCAAGGGCTTCCTTGCTCGAGAGGCTGGAGGTTTGTTTCGGGTTTGAGAGTTCTTGCCCGCCAAACGAATGCTCAAACATCTGTCAGGCTAGGTCGAAATGTGTTGCTGAAATGGACTCTACTGCAGTGACAGAATTTTTTACGCTAGACGACTCTCCAGCGAAGCCTCCTGCAAACGACGATGATACGGTTCGCGACCACTATGGATTTATGGTTCCTGCCGACTACCATGAGCTGTACTCCGTCTACAGCCCAATCTGGGAGCAGGAGGAGACAGAGCGTGAGGCGTACTGGTGCCAGTTCTTAATCGAATTGGCGCATCTCAACGCTAACGATGGCAAGTTTGCCAACCTTGGGGACCTGTGCGCGGACTACCTTCTGGATGCCGTCACCATCGCACGGCACGAACAGGGCCCGCCGTCGCCTCACCGGCAGAAGCTCGATGCGCTAGTGCATGGGGGTGTCCCCTTCACCATTCGCGGCAGCGTCTGGACCGTCTTCTTGGATACCTCTGTCCGCAAGCAACGAAACTACTACAATGTGAGTGCCTTGACTTAAAAAGAAGATGGTCAGGACCATCAATACACAACACACAGCAAATGGCCGGTCGCTGCTACTGCTGCTGCTGCTGCTGCCGGCAAAAAGGGTTGGTCCCTCGGTAGAGCAGCAGCAGGAGCAAGTTCTCAGCTCAGCGGAATAACTTCTTTCGGGATTTCAAATTTTCATCGGATGTGATGTAGATACCCAGAAAGAGCTATCTCGTGGTCATGTGTGTGTGTGTTAAAATCGGTGGTTTGGGAACTCTCCGGGAGCAGGTAGGGGGCCCTCGCTGCCCTACAGGCCTTGCTCCAAAACCAAACCACGATACACCCGGCGCGCCAGGCGCAAGATCTCCCTCACACGCACAGACATACATACACACTCCCGGCCTCCCAAACTCGGCCGTCTCAACCCGCGCGCCTTTTTCGGGCGCACCTTCTGGGCAACGCCACCGCCTGCGTGTGTCTGTGTATGTATGTCCTCGCGCGCCCGTGTTTGCGCGTTCGACAGGATCTGGTCAAACGCTGCCTTGGAGATCTGCAGTACAGGGGCAGTCTGGAGCTGGACGAGATACGGAAGCAGGCGGCGCTAGCATCGCAGGCGCTGCAGGTATGCACACCGTCCGTCTGCATGTATGTATGTATGTATGTATGCCCAGCCCAGCAACACTCACACACTTTCAAACACACTCACACATTATCCAAGTCACGCCAGAGAGACACATTAGTAGTAGTAGTAGTAGTAGTAGTAGTAGTAGTAGTAGTAGTAGTAGTAGTAGTAGTGTAGTAGAAGTAGTAGTAGTAGTAGTAGTAGTAGTCTCTCTCCCTCTCTCTCTCTCACACACACACACACACACATTCATCCGCATGCATTCCCCCCACCCCCATCTTCACCCCCATCTCCCCCCGACCCCGTGAGCCGCCCCAGGACGCTGCCGCCCTTCACGGCCTGTCCGGCTATGCAGCGGTGACGGAGAAGGCCCTGGCCACCTGGCGATCCAACAGCAAGGTACGCGGGAGGGGCAGCAAGGGGGGAGGGGGACTCATGAATGAATGAATGCTGCGCTGCAAAGGGGAGGGGGAGGGGGAGGAGGGGCAGCACGCAACGCGATACACCGACAAAGCTTTCGAACCTCCTGGGGACTCACCTGGCGGCCAGGCAGCAGAAGCGGCAGAGGCAAGGACGGCACATGCGAGGCAGAGAGGTAGCATGGACGAAGGGGGGGAAAAGGGGCAACACTGGGGCTCGTATGCTGCAAATAGGAAACTCAAAGAAATGAACTGCCTGCCTGCCTGCCTGACTGGCTGCCGGAAGGCGTCCAAAGAGTCCGAAACTGGCCCCAGTGAGTGAGTTAGTGAGGCCTAATCGATGATGAAGTCACGTCGACCCGTGGTTCGAGTGTGTATGAATGGGTGTTAGGTCTGCGGGTCGGGTCGGGGAGGAGTGGTGGGGCAGTCTGCGGCGTGCGCAGGCAGCGCAGCTCGCGCGTTCTCTGCGCGTTGAGGGGAAGTGAGGAAGAGGGCGCTTGAGGAGCAGGTGGAGGTGGAGGTGTCGATGAGGGGAGGGGCAGCCATATGCGTTTGGTGTGTGGAGGGGGGGAATTGCTCATTATTAACGTGTTTTGTTTGGATTGTTTTGGGGGTTATTTAGGAGGGAGTTTGACGTATGTATGTATGTACCGCATGCGCAGGTATGGCTGACCCAGATCGAAAAGGACCTTCCCCGCACCTTCCCTGGACTCGCCTTAATGGAGGTCAGCGGGCGCCCGGCACTGCGGCGGGTGCTGGCGGCCTACAGCCTGCATAACTCCAGGGTTGGGTATTGCCAGGTAGGGGGGGGGGTAGGCGTCTGGAGTGTTTCGAGGAGGAAGGGGTGTTGTTAAAAGGGGCGCCAAGGGTGTAGGGGTAAGTGTGTGTTTGTGGGGCGGTGTATTAGGGTTTGGGTTTGACTCCTGATCACGTCCTCGCGAAGGGATGCCAACGGCCGTGGGATTGAGGGGTCGCAGTTTGTGTTTTACCCACATACTGACATACAGGCAGGTGGCTGGCAGAAGTTAAGGCCTGACTTCTGCTCCCGGAGGTTCCGGGTTCAAATCCGCCTGCCGACTCCTCGGTGTGTGAGGGGTGTTGAATTGGGAGGTGGCCCCCCATCTTGTGGATGGTGTAAGACGTGATTATATCAACTTGCGAGCTGGCTAGGAACTAAGTTGTGGCGCTGTTGATCCGGTAGATTTGGTTGGATGCTGGTGGTGAGTTGCTGAACCCAACGAATACATTCTGAAGTCGGATGGGGTGAATGGATTAGGGTGCCCCTCTAGCAGGGGAGAGCAGGGAACTGCCTCGGGAAAGGGGGCCGCTGGTGAAGCTATACCACCCTGTAACAACATACATACATGCAGACAGGCATATATACATGCTCAGGTTAGGCACTACTGGTAAGGCACGGACCATTGGCCCCCCGGAGATCCCGGGATCGAGACCTGTCAGGGTCGAAAATCCTTCCGACGGTAGATGGTAAAGTGCCCCTAGTCGATGGACGGTGGTGACCTGGGATAAAGTTGACTTGCGAGCCGACCAGGAATGGAGTTGAGCCTCTGCCGTCGACCCGGCAGATTCCGTTGGATGCTGGTGGTGGGTGCGGAACCTGAGCGATCCACTGAGAAGTTGACTAGGTTGACTGGATGAGGGTGCCCCGAAATACCGGGGAAGGCAGGGTTTCGCAGGGTAGCTGCCACGGGTGAAGATATACACCCCTGTCCCACACATCATACATACATACATACATACATACATCTCCCATCTCCTTCGCAGGGTCTCAACTTCGTGGCCGGCACCCTGCTACTATTCCTGGACGAGGAGGGCGCCTTCTGGTGTCTGTGTGCGCTGCTGGAGGACATTCTCCGGGGCTACTATGACGTGGATATGATGGCCATGCAGGTATGTATGTATGTATGTCCGTCTGCCTGTATGTATGTGCAAAATTGCGTGCGTGTGTGTTTATGTAATGAACCTGAGTCGCAATACGGCAATTGGGCATCCAATGGGGCGTCCAATTGGGCATCCAATTGGATGATGCACACACGAGTGGTAGTGGTGTACCGATTCCAGCTTTTCGTATACGTGTGTGTTTCAGAGGCTCAGTGAACGCAAACTCGCGTGACTCGGAGCCTCTTGAGAGCCTCGGGAGAGCGTGTGCGACGCCTCTTCCCACCCGCCGGGGAAGCGGACCTGCGGCTCTCGGCTGCTTAGAAGGAAGGGGGCAGAGGCTCCCTCTCTAGCGCCTCTCAAGCCCCGTCCGCGGTTGAGAGAGAGAGAGCTTGGGCGGTCTTTCCGTTGGGGCTGGGTCCCAGCAGCCCCTCTGTGGCCAGTGTCGTCAGGCCCGGTCAGATAGATACTTGTGACGCTCACACACAAACATACACAAACATACACAAACATACACAAACATACACAAACATACACAAACATACACACAAACATACATACAAGGGTTTGGCACCACTGGTAACGCGCGACCATTGCCCCCGGGAGATCCCGGGATCGATACCCGTTAGGGTCAAAAGTCCTTCCGATGGTGGAAGGCATTGCGCCCCTAGTTGATGGACGGTGGTGACCTGGGATAAAGTTAACCTGCGAGCCGACCAGGAATGGAGTTGGGCCGCTGTCGACCCGGCAGATTCCGTTGGATGCTGGTGGTGGGTGCGGAACCTGAGCGATCCACTGAGAAGTTGACTAGGGTGACTGGATGAGGGTGCCCCGAAATACCGGGGAAGGCAGGGTTTCGCAGGGTAGCTGCCACGGGCGAAGATACACCCCCCTGTTTCACACATCATACATACATACACGCAGACCGACACACACAGACCAGCAACAGGCAGCGTTTGGGGCCATTTACGGCCTCCGGGTCGCACCGATTAGTATTCTCAGGGAGGGCCGTGGCGAGGGGTTGTATGTATGTCGGGTTCAGCTTCCGGGCTCAAGGCACCCCCACCGCCGCCGCCGGTAGGGCTACCCCTCATCAGGGGGAGGGGCGGGCGCCATCCGGGTGATGTTGTGCACGGACTCACACCCAGGGCGCACAGCCGCACACATGCGCCTCAGGCGCAGGCTGCACATGGACGGAGCCGTGCCGCAGCACCATCGCGTGCTAGCATTGAGGTGGTTTGATGCCGTACACCCGACCTTCCTTCGCCGTACACACCCACACAAGCACCCAAGCTCGCAAACATTCGCGCAGGTGGATCAGCGGGTTTTTAAGCGCCTGGTTTCGGAGCACTTCCCCCAGCTGGCGGCCCATTTGGAGGGGCTGGGGGCGGACGTGTCGTGTGTGTTTGTGCAGGTATGTATGTGTGTGTATGTACGCATGTATGTATGTGTGTATGTATGTGTGTGAAGGGGGGGAAATGGGTGTTGCGGTTGGGGCCCGGGTAATGATGGCTGTAATGCACTTGTGTAAAACACACAATACATACGTACATACGTACTTGTACCGTGTTTTCATTTATCACTCCCGTTCTCTTCTCTTTGACTCCAGCTGCTAGCCGATCGCTTTCCAACCTCTGCCCCTGCTCGGCCCCGTATATGACCCCTTCTCCCTCCCCCCGGCCCCGGGGGACCCTCTCTCCCCCGACATACACACACGGACACGGACGCGCAGTGGTTCTTGTGTGTCTTTGTCAACTTCCTGCCTATTGAGGCGTGCCTGAGAGTGT